TGTTTCGATTACAAAGGACATCATAGTACTGGCTACCAATACAGCCACATAGCATTGGTTGACGATCAAAACAAAGGATGCACTATAACACAATGCACTGCCCATACAGTACAGTTCCTAGCCATCGAACCACTATAAATTTTCAGAATTGTTCCCGTTTTCCGTAAAAGGCCAAATTGTAATTATATTATTTATTAGCTACCATGATACTGTACATAACATTAACCCATGTTAATATCTTGTATTTCCTTTGCTTTGGTCACAGTGGCATGCCCCGTATACATTGATCACATGCTTTGAATCTTCATTATTTTCCCAAATATCTGTAATTCTTTTCAACTCAGATAATGTGGTTGGAGAGTTGTAAACTAGTCCTTTGAGTAGGCAGACATTTTCTGTGGCATTCAAATTCCACCTCTAGCGTTATCGATACTCCTAACGTAAACGCACGGCCCTTAATCGCTCATCACACAATTTATTATCACGATAGAATTGCAGTGTATCGTTATCAATTTAGCAATAATTGTGCATGACCCAAGATTTTCTATACATAACATAATTTTAGCCATAAAAGTGAAATTTTCGTACGTGGTTCTATTTCGATAGCCAGGGACTGTATAATCAATTCTTGCTTAAAGTAGTATCTAGCACAGAATAAGAATATACACTCAAATAAATTAGTAATTCATTGTAAATGTGTCACAAGGTCTATTTATAAATGTAATTGTCTTAAATTTTAACGACGTCTAATAATAGCTGCAAGAAATAGGTAACACCGTTATAAAAGTAAAAAGGTCAGACCACACGTGGGAGACGCGCAATTTACTTTTGGTCCATAACGGCTATAGCTATCACGTGTGATAGACGTTATACCAACCTTAGTGGTTAAATTTAAAGTACCAATTTCCTGCAAAAAGTCGTTCGCCTTTTGATTAAAAAACGTAATATACTCATAACGATAAAAATGTCGTTCGTAAAGTCTGTAAAATGTGTTTTAAATATAGATGAGTTAAATATTCAAATTTTAGTGCAAAATTGGTTTAGTTATTTTTGGATAGTTTTTGAGTGGAGTAGTGACAAATGTGCACTTAGATATATTTTATTATTATTGAATTAATTTGTGGAATTCCCAAAGGAGGAAAACTCTAAGTTCAAAAATTTTAAGATTTTAAAACTCTCAAATTTTAAAACTAGCCCTCAAATTTCTAAACTTCCAAATTTCCAAATTCCCAAATTTTCAAATTTCCAAATTTCCAAGTTTCTAAATTTCCAAATTTCCAAATTTCTAAATTTCCAATTTCCAATTTCCAAATTCCAAATTTCTAAATTCCTAAATTCCCAAATTTCCAAATTTCTAAATTCCCAAATTCCCAAATTTCCAAATTTCTAAATTTCCAAATTCCCAAATTCCCAAACTTCCAAATTCCCAAACTTCCAAATTCCCAAACTTCCAAATTTCCAATTTCCCAAATTTTCAAATTCCCAAATTCCCAAATTCTTCAATCTCCAATTTTCAAATTTTCTAATACAATCATCATTAAATTTTATTGAAAGACATTGATACGTGCTTTCTAATAATTACCCCCGTTTTAAAGCAAATATTCTTTGCTATCTTCAAACTTCGAAACCATCGTATAATGTTGATAGAAGAAGTTATTTTAAATAAATTCCTCAAACAACTTTTAATCCTTTCACTGCAGCGCGCTTCTGATAAAAAGGAATCGCTTTGAAGCAGCATTCCGCGTTGACACAGACACGACGTCCCTCGTCACGAATTTTTGTGCCTCTTTTAGATGAAGTTTACAAAAATAATTTCAGTTTTACATCTTTCTGAGAGTCTAATAACCAAATACTCCGAGTACGATTTTTGGGGATTTTTGAGAGTTGAAAGAAGAAGGCAAAAAGAAGGCAGAAGCGGAGTTCAGATAGCGAGGTGCATCAGTTCGAATCAGAAACCGAACATGAAGAACGCAGTTGTATTCCTGTCGTTAGCCGTTGTTTGCTGCCAGTTGGTAGCAGCAGGATGGAGCTCGCCAAAACCTGGCCATTCAGGCGGAAAGAACAGCGAAGAAAGCAAGGGAAGCAGCAAAAGCAGCGAAAGCAGCAGTAGCAGCAGCAGCAGCGAAAGTAGCGAAAGTAAAAGCAGCGAAGAAAGCAACGAAGAGTGCAGCAAAGAGCATGGAAAGAAGGCTGTGAACCTGACGCCGAAGAAAGGCTTGGAGATTCCGAAGAAAGGCTTGGAGATTCCGAAGAAGGACGACATCGGAAAGAAGCTGGGAGGCATTTTAGAAGGCAAAAAGAAGGGGTTGGATGGCCTGGGTGATTTGGGCAAGGAATGGTAAAATCGTTTGCGAAGATTTTGTATCCCAAAGAAAATTATGATTTGGGAATTATGATAGCTGAATTTTAGATACAAAGTTGAAGTACGGAGTATGATTATATTAATGATGAAGATGGGGAATGGTAGATGAACCACATCTGATGTGGATTTTTGTTAATGGTCATTTTGATCAATTTTTGTTGTAACTTGGTGTGTGTGTATTTTACAGAAATTTTTATTAATACAGAGAAATGAATAAATTTTTATTGATACAGAGGAATTGAGATTTAATGATGCGTTTATTTTTTGTATAATTATCCCTGAAACCTTGTCTTGTATATCTTGGGGGAAATTCTTTTGGGTATTTATTGGGTCGTTAATTGGTACTTTAGTAGCAATATGAAGTAATGTACTTAAGGGTCAGGATATATTACGTACGATTTTTATGGCGCCATAACTATAAATTAAAATAAAATTAGTTCCTAAATTTGTGAAGCTTTGAATTGAAAAAATTATATAAACATTCTTTACATTGCAACGAGTTGGAAGCTAATTATAACTGATCCTAAAGGGACGAGTTTATTTCATACTTTTAGGATCTGTGAACCGGTAGCACATTTTTCAAACGAAATTTACCGAAGAACTTTTAATTTTGCATTTTCTTCATGTTAAATAACATCGTAATACCATAAATTACGATGTTTACGGAATTTAATAATCATTGTTTACCGCTTCTTTCGCAATTCCAGGAAAATTGTCTTCCCGTTTAATTTTCTCTTGCATTTGTCATCAAAGTAATATCACGACATAAAGCAGCGCATAAAATTAATTTCTTGTCACGGATTTTCTTAAGCTCATGGTTCTACATTTGTTCCGTGCTTCATTTTAACATTATGACGACCATTTTAACGTATTACTGTCATTGTTTCTGAGATTACAATATTTAATTACACACTTTATTATTCGTTAGAAGATGTACTTCTATTTGTTTGATTTTATATTCATCTAGTTTTAGATTTTTTAATTTTTGAAATGTTATGTTTGCAAATATTGTAATTTTTAGATGGTGAAATTTTGGAAATTGTTAAATTGTTAAATGTAGGAAGTTTGCAAATTCTCAAATTTCTAAATTTCCAAATTTCTAAATTCTCAAATTTCCAAATTCCCAAATTACCAAATTACCAAATTACCAAATTTCTAAATTCTCAAATCTCCAAGTTTCCAAATTTTCAAGTATGCAAATTCTCAATGAAAATCGATGACGTACATAACAATCAATCTCTCAAATTATTATATCAAGCTTCCTATGCATGGTTTTCCTAGGCATATTTTAATTTATATCAACAGGCAATTTCCTTTTATTATTCAAAAATTTGCTAACATAATGAAATAATAGTCCGAAAGAATCCCTACATTCCGATCCTCATTTACTACTCTCTGTTATCACAAACTTCATAAATATAAATCGAATATGGAGATCTAACATGTTTTATATTCCAACGTGTCGTCTATAATATAATGTCACATTCGTGACGCATACCATAATTCAAATATTGTAAACCATACTCATATATCAACTGCGAGTAGATATTCAGTTTAATTCTAATTAAAATCTACACAATTGATGATCGCCAAATACAAACACTGCGTAACATTTCATCACTCTGTATTTGTTTTAATGTTGTAACAATACTGACTGAACTATGCATGACGCACCTATCTAGAAAACTAGGTAACTAGGTTACCATGAATTTTATTAAAAATAAATTTCCAAATTCTCAAACTTAAATATCGTACTTCTTCCCACAAAAACCAAGGACCTATTTTACCTGACAGTAACCCCCTTCATAATGTATACTGTCTAATATTCGCGTACAAGCATTAGTTTTGTTTAGAAAGAGATTGTGAAAATGTGCGACAAAATAAACTTATTTTTGTTGGGTTCAGAGCTAAAAGACAGAGCACCAACATAACAATGTGATTAGGAGACAGAGCACCAACATAACAATGTGATTAGGAAAGGTTATATTATATAGGGAGGGTGCAGGGGGAAGAGTCGTGCCTATATGTCCGCTTCAATACTAAAACGAGTAATTATTATAAACACTATGTCTATGGCAAAGTTCAGATTTCCGGGCAAATTGCAGTGTACAGATGTCAACTCACGAGTTGGCGCGTGAAGAGGCTGATCCAGGTATTTAGAAGAGCTACGAATCCAATTGGAATAGAAAAATGGACGCCTCACACGTATTTTCGGCGGTAGTGTTTGCACCCGCGATCGACAATTAGATGAAAAATGGTAGGCAAACGTCGCGAGATATAGTGCGAATTGCTGCAATTGTTATTGTCATTATTCTTATATGCCGGAATGTATCAAAGAGTTCACGGGAAGCTTCCTTTACTTCCACGCGCCAACTCGTGAGTTGATATCTGTACATATTGATCTTTCTTTATAACTTTGATCTTTCTTAATAGCGTTTCAGTAAACAATAATCGCTTTTTGTAAACATTATTCGAGAGGTGTTTTTCATAATATGTTGAGATCAAGCTGTACAAGCTTTTCAGAAGTATAGTTTTCAATCTTTCGTTGTTATTAACTTTTCAGTGTAGCGACTTTAATCTTGTTAATGTTAAGGTGTGTTTGATAACATAAAGTAAAAAGTTGAAAAATTGAACGTACCTGCAAGTAACTGACCGTGGGACAAAGTTCCTGGCCAAACGGCCAATACTGCAGTATCAAAATGCTGATGAAACTCGGCGGAACGCAGAAGAGAGCTATCAGTATGTCCCCAAATGCAAGGTTCACGATGAAGAAGTTCGTCACAGTCTTCATTCGGGGGCTGCTGTACACAACGTAGCAGACCAAACCGTTTCCGGCTAACGCAACCACGAAGATAGCACTGTAGAAGAAGTAAATGATACCCTGGAACCAACTGGTCGAGAATATGCGGTACGTGCCCGTGAAATAATCGCAACCCATCCCGTCCAAAAGATTCGTTACGTTCCATTCGCTGTCCTGCAGGTTCACCCAACTGTAATTCCCTTGGTTGCTCTTCATTGTGACACGTCTCTGCAGAATAGACTGATCTGGAAGAACGCAAAAAATTCATCAAAACGTGGATGCAGTTAGCCAAGTGGAATCATTCAAACTTCAAAGCGTCCAGAAAAAACTTTGATGTGGCCAAAATTTTGTTTAAAGAGGAGAAGAATGGATTTACGTTTGACATCATGATTGAATACAGATCTATGTTTGAGATTATGAGGAAATCTATGATTATGTTTGTGATCATGATTGAGTAATCTATGTTCGAGATCAAGATTAAATAAAGATCTAGATACAGATATCGTGCTAACATCTGAAGTCAAATAATCTGAAAAGAATTTCTTCTTATCAGAAATCTGAAGGTACTTATGAAACTCGGAACTTTCTTGAAGTTGCGAGAAGTTTCAAAGTTTTCACGTTCCAAGAATCTTAAGTTCTAATTGTTCTCTGTAAATTAATATAATGTAATATAAAATATAATTAATGTAAAACATTTCCTATGTTTTTCGTGCAAGTCACTCCTAGGGTATGAAGCTTCAAAGTTGACATATAGGTGGCGTAAATCTGATAGTGCACCCTTCGCGCGGTGCACCTTGGGTAATGTAAATGTCGACGGTATGTCAACTTTGAAGCTTCATATCTTGGGAGTGACTTGCATAAAAAACATAGGTAGTATTTTGAAATGACTACATGCAATAAAAAATGGGGTTCTATTTAAGAAACTGAAGATCGACCTTCAAACCGTCCAAGGTCAAATTGTTGCCATCTTATGTTCCTTAATATCCTACAACTTTTGTCCGAAACATTTTTCTATATTTAAAGCCGTTTCCGAAATATAAGGATGTGGTCGAACTTTAGAGATACTCTGCATTATAATGCAATATTATATTAAAACTTACTAAGGTTGTCTTGATGATATCGAATAGTCAGTTTTGCGTTACATTTCGTAAGATTTGATTGATAACCAAGTTTCAGCGTCGAAAATCTACTTGTGAATACTTTTGCATTGAAAGTGAAACACGGAATTATTTTCTAAATTATTCATTACTAATTCATATTTAATCATATTCATTATTAATAATAGCTTCATTCATTTTCAGTCGGAATTTATCAAAAGCAAGTCGAACGTTAATGAAGAGGATCAACTATGTATGTCCTATGTATGTAGTTTGACATTTATATTCACTGATTGCTACACTACATATACATTTATTGATTGCTCATTTTCAAAGCCTATTCTACAAAACCTATATTCACATCATATCATGTATTTACAAAAATTAAAAAAATATGCAGAGTTATCATAAACGCTTTGTGCAGAATCATGTTAAAAATTACGTTTTCGTTTTTTTATGCGTCTCAATCTTCGCTTCTTTTGTTCAGCGATCAAACTCATTAGAAGTTTTTTGCCCGTAATCCCAGCTCTGCGTACAGGTTTATTCATGCATGAAATCGAGTGAATTTGGTTTGCCAAAGAGGCAATTGCAACCAAAGTTAATTACGATGTTTAACGATATTTTTCTGCCTTCAGTGTCAAACACATCGATTGATCGCTTTTATGTTACGGTAAATTACAGCCATTACTTTAATTACGAATGGCATTCTCTTACGCGTCAAATACAGAATTTAACGACTTTTTGGTAAAGAAAATATTGAAAAAATTTATACAAAATTTATTGTTTAATTATTGCCTCATTTTTATATGTTTTATTCAGATCTGAACTGTTATTATGATTATATTATAATCAATCATTATTATTATTATATTATAGTCAATTATTATTATGATTATAATAGGTTCAATTGTGATTATGATTATATAAAAATTATTACTATTATTATTATAAAACCTCAATTATTATTATGATTATATCAAACGAATTATTATTACTAGTCCAACAGTTTAAATTATGCTTACAATTATATAAAATAAATTATTATTATAATAAATTTTATAAATTTTATATTATTATAAATTTTATTATTATTATCATACTAATGCCTTTTGAAAATTATTTCACACTAATTATTTTAGTATTAAAATAATTTTAATGTTACATTGTTACTATTAATTTTAAGTCTTTTAGTACAATTATGTCTGAAGTACAATAGACTCTAGTTATATTGCCACAAAGGGACCTGCGGCAATAGAAAATTCTAGAAGCTGGTAATACAGCGGGTTCATTAAAAAGTTCCTTTTTCTAATATTGCAGCAATTAAATAAAACTGAATATTGCAATGAATAAAGTTCTTTCTTTTAATATTGCAATAAGAGAAATACCTGCGAACCCACGTAAAATGACAATATAACAAAAGTCCACTGTAATTCTCACCGTTATTAATTTCTCCAATAGTAGGAATACAATAAATCATCGTATGTATTTACCGGAAATTAATATCTGTGGTGCGATATTTGGGGGTAGCCATTTTCTCGATCAATCTCTCTAATTCTGCAATTTAGTCCAATCAGATTTTAAATAATTTTCATCGAATTGTTGAATACTCCTATACAGATAAACGGTAATGCATCGACGGTTTATTCGAATAATGCTCGTGGAATTGCATTTGCCAATATTTTATCAATCTCTTTCATTCCAGTAATTTTATTACCCCGATAACAGTATAGGAAAATGCATTATAGTAGGTGTTTCACGTATCTTAAATATCTCTGTTTAAATTCGAATGCATATTTTAACACAATATTTTAACACAATCTCAAATCTGTTTTTTCGATATTTATGTACGTATGGAAAATATTTATTTTTAATTAAATTAAGGAATAAATTCATTCCAAATTAATTTCAGTTCATTTTTCGTGTTTCTGTCAAAAATATTTTTCCTGTTAAAATGACAATGTTACTTTCTTCTGCAAGGTTCTTTATTTCATTTAAGAATATTACAATAATTCTAGAAATTTTTACCCTCAAAAACAAATTCTTACAACTTGGAAATTGGGAAATTTGGAAGCTTGAGAAATTGGATATTTGAAAATTTGGGAATTTGACAATTTGGGGATTTAGAGATTTGGGGAATTGTAGATTTGGAAATTTGGGGATTTGGAGATTTGGGAATTTAAAGATTTGGAAATTTGAAACTTAGAAAATTGGAATTTGGAAATTTAAATATTTGGAAGCTTGAGAAGTTGGATATTTGAAAATTTGGAAATTTGACAATTTGGGGATTTAGAGATTTGTGGATTTGTAGATTTGGAAATTTGGAGATTTGGGAATGTAAAGATTTGGAAATTTGAAACTTAGAAAATTGGAATTTGGAAATTTAAAAATTTGGAAGCTTGAGAAATTGGATATTTGAAAATTTGGAAATTTGACAACTTGGGGATTTAGAGATTTGGGGACTTGTAGATTTGGAAATTTGGAGATTTGGGAATGTAAAGATTTGGAAATTTGCAACTTAGAAAATTGAAATTTGGAAATTTAAAAATTTGGAAGCTTGAGAAATTTGATATTTGAAAATTTGGAAATTTGACAATTTGGGGATTTGTAGATTTGGAAATTTGAAACTTAGAAAATTGGAATTTGGAAATTTAAAAAAGGAAGCTTGAAGCTTGCATTTTTTCACGCAGAATATGATATCCGAATAAAAAATATGGGCTTAGGAAAAAAGAGATGACCCTGAAGTAACCTCGAAGATGTATTAAAAGGTTGGTAACGTCATTTGACTCCACACTAGAAGTTCTAAAAGCATGTCCATTTTTCTTAAACACACGTTTTCAAGATTTTATACCATGTCAACTTGAATGGGACACCCTGTATTATTTTAATTATGAATTCTAGTAAACGGAAGCAAATGCTTGACGATTGCTTATCTACATTTATTTTGATATTGTGTAATAAATACACCGAGAACAACTGAATGACGACAGATCTGATAACAGCGTTATTTATTGGCAGAGGTTAGTATATCACATTTCAGCACGACTGAAGTTCTGCTCCCTATAATGAAACTTGTAACATGAAAGGATAAGGATACATCTATTGACCGATCATTTCGGTATCCATCAATGTCAGTACCCAAAATTTCGATAAAGTTAGAAGTGTATGTATAGTGCGAAATGGATATTTGTATAAAGAGGGATTCTTGAATTTTATTCTTTCGGACACGTGTATGAACTTGCGTAGAGATAGAATCATACAATACAATACTAATATAAAAAGAGATAAATTCTACAATTATAGCGTGTTGTGATTATGTTAGTTATACTTTAATGTATCGATTTGTAAATTTTTATGTTCTGTGCATTTAATTCGAAAAGTCGTTTGAACAGTTTTCTGAATTTTCGGATTTCTAAATTATCAAACTTTCAAGTTTTAGATTTCGTAAACTTCCATGTAAATTTTCTAAATTACAAAAATTCTAAACTTTTAAGCTCTGAACTTCCAAATTCCCAAATCTCCAAATTCTCAAATTTTGAATTTCCCAAAACCCAAGCCCCCAAATCCCCAAATCCCCAAATCCTCAAATCCTCAAAACCCAAAATTCCCAAATTTCCAAATTCCCAAATTCCCAAATTCCCAAATTTCCCAAATCCCCAAGCCCCCAAACCCCCAAATCCTCAAATCCTCAAAACCCCAAATTCCCAAATTCCCAAACAAATCCCCAAATCCCCAAATCCCCAAATCCCCAAATCCCCAAATCCCCAAATCCCCAAATCCCCAAATCCCCAAATCCCCAAATCCCCAAATCCCCAAATCCCCAAATCCCCAAATCCCCAAATCCCCAAATCCCCAAGTTCACAAATCCCCAAATCCCCAAATCCCCAAATCTCCAAATCCCCAAATCCCCAAATCCCCAAATCCCCAAATCCCCAAATCCCCAAATCCCCAAATCCCCAAATCCCCAAATCCCCAAATCCCCAAATCCCCAAATCCCCAAATCCCCAAATCCCCAAATCCCCAAATCCCCAAATCCCCAAATCCCCAAATCCCCAAATCCCCAAATCCCCAAATCCCCAAATCCCCAAATCCCCAAATCCCCAAATCCCCAAATCCCCAAATCCCCAAATCCCCAAATCCCCAAATCCCCA